CTATGTGCCATGTCTAATGGATGTCAGTTATCAGTTATCTCCTGTTAATTCCTCTCTCCAATTTCTCCATCGCCTTAATCTGGTATTGAACTCACACTCTTTTGGGTCCTGTGACTGTATCTAACTAACGCCTTTATCCACTGTCCTTGAAGAAGGCCGGAGCCTACAACGTCCGAAACGTTGTGATAAATATGGCAACAAAAATGAGGACAATAGTCCGAATAATGTAAATAGTGTGCATAATACCTTATCTCAGAAATATAAACAGAAACTATATACGGTATTGTAAAATTAAAATATTAGAATTTAATTACGCATTTTCAAACTTTCTTATTTTTGATTAAAAATAGATATATTATTATGCATTTTTTTTTTTAATAATTAATTATTTTTAAAGAAAATATAATACAGTGTCTACAAAAAACTAATTTCATTTCTTTGATTTAATAAATATTTATTTTTCAGAAACTTAATTATATATATAACTTTTTATGTAGGAATAAAGGACATGGGTCATTTAAAGTTATACATGTTTTTGAAACGAAATACAGTAACGTGTTTTGCTTATTGGAAATATTAAATCTGTTAGCTTTGAATTAAAATTCCAATAAAAGCCATCATTTTTAAAATTTATTTTAAATTTTAGGTATCGCGTTTCTGTGGATGTATCCATATAAACAGGTAAAACCTAGCAGACAGTCATTCTTGGAAACGAGCAACTATTATTTAAAATTATTTAGTAACATTTTTTGTGTGACGGAAAATACATTGATTTGATTTTTACGGCTTATCAACCCTTTGGAAGTTATTTATATCAAGAAAATATTATTAGAATCTAAGAATTTAGTGATTAAGCGTCTTACTAATAAACCCATAGCTGGTGGTGACAAGAGATGGAATCAGAACTTTCTCAAGGGTATTTGCGCGTAAGTGAATATTTACGAACACAACTCGGCTCTCCGATTAACGAATCTTTAATTAATACCGGATTTTTTATCATAATTCTCATAATTAATACCGAATGTATATATATATATATATATATATATATATATATATATATATATATGAGTGTGTGTGTGTCTTCCTATCTATATCAATCTTTTTCTAAGTTCCAGCTCTCTCTAGCGATGTCAGTCTGTTCCTATGTACCTACCTGTCTCAGTCGGTTCGTATCTATCTATCTATCTAGCTAGCTAGCTATGTGTCAGTTTGTTCGTATCTATATATATCTATGTATCTAACTCAGTCTCTTCCTATCTCAATCTTTTTCTAAGCGCCATATCTATTTATCTATGCCTGTCTCTATCTATCTATCTATCTATCTATCTATCTATCTATCTACCTATCTTTTTCCTGACTGTCATCTATCTATCTATCTATCTATCTATCTATCTATCTATCTATCTATCTTTTTTCCTCACTGTCATCTATCTATCTATCTATCTATCTATCTATCTATCTATCTACCTTTTTTCCTCACTGTCATCTATCTATCTATCTATCTATCTATCTATCTATCTATCTATGCCTGTTTCTTTCTATTTATCTCTCTCTCTCTCTCTCTCTCTCTATCTATCTATCTATCTATCTATCTATGTCTGTTTCTATCTATCTATCTTTTTTCCTCACTGTCATCTATCTATCTATATATCTATCTATCTGTCTATTGTGATTGGTTCCTTTCATTTCCATTTTGTATGTCTGCAGTGTTATCTAAATTGTTCAAATCAAGCAATCAGTAAAGATACGTTATGTTCTGCATTTGTTCTCATTTTGCTGACAATCTAGAATGTAAAAAAAACAATATGAAAATAAAAATAAAATAATTATTTATCCAATCAGGAGACAAACAAAAGATAAGAAATGTTTGAACATTTTTTTTCACGGAGAAGAATGCGAGAAGAATTGATCCAAATAAACATCTTATGGAGACTTTCATTTCATCATGACGCACAGCAAGATAAAATGTCTACTTCTCGTCAAAGTCTCGTTTTATCTCGCTGTTTTTTTTCGCCTTACTCAATGACGGGTTGAATAAACAGATTAAATACCATTTTTTTTTGTATTACATATATATTGTCAGAAATGTTCTGCTGTCATGGGAAAATGTGAAGAGCCAAGTATTTTGATCTTTCCCGTCGTTTGATTACAAATAGATTAAATGTTTTCACTTGTAGTTAACCACACACACACACACACACACACACACACACACACACACACACACACACACACACACATATATATATATATATAATGGTTCAATCTTTTCATAACTATCGATTTATCTAACTTCTCAGAGTTTTCGTGTCTATTTTTTGTATAAATGTACGTAGGTATGAATCTATCTATCTATCTATCTATCTATCTATCTATCTATCTATCTATCTATATTCATTATCTATCTCAGATTTTTCTATCTATCTATCTATCTATCTATCTATATATATATATATATATATATATATATATATATATATATAATCTATCTATCTAAATTCTCATGCTTTGACATCTGTCTATCGCTAGATGGGAATAGAGAGATATACAGTTATATAGAAATCAATGAACTGAGATAGATAATGAACATAATTCGATAGATAGATAGATAGATAGATAGATATGACATCTTTGGGAAGACCGATTAATAGACACGAAGAAATAGAACCATCTATCTCTTTGCTCTGCATCTATCTTTCTATCGATATATATATATATATATATATATATATATATATATATATATATATATATATATATATATAATTATTTATTTAAAATATCTCTTGCTCTGCATCTATCTATCTATCTATATATATATATATATATATATATATATATATATATATATATATATATATATATATTAATTATTTATTTAAAATATGATTCCAACTCATGACATAAGAGGTCTCATGTTTCAAAACAAGAGCCGAAAACTTCAATATAATTATTTGAATTAAATTGAGTTAAAATAAGCTCTGTTCCATCTTCAAGCGAAATTGTTTTGGGAATAACGTATTTCTGAAATTTACGTGTTTTAATAATTGAAATCAAAATTTCCATGGTAACAGCTAGGGTGAATTGTTTAAGTTGGGATAGCGTGTGTTGGGTGTGAATAATAAGTAATCAGTATAGAGTTACTTTCATAGATGTCAAGTCAGGGTAAGGTGGGGGTGCGTAAATTTGAAACGGAAGAAGTTTTAGCCTAGTCTGGTTTACGTGTCTATGGAGATTTTTTTTTTTTTTATGAAAGTTATTTGTGCATATAAAAAAAAACTGCCGTAACATTTGTTTTTTGACGACTTCATAAAGGGTTATCTTTTTTTAGGGTATTTAAACTATTTATTTGGGCTATGGATTATAAAAGTTATTATATTGTATGCTTGTTTTTAGCTAATTATTCAAACCATGAATTTGATGATGTCGACAAAAAACCGTTAACTCATGTCTATTGTTTAATAGATTATTATTATTTAGAAACTTTATAATGTGCAGTTTCTCATGGAGGCACAAAGGGCATGGGTCATCCCAAGTTTTACATGTTCTAGCCCTGTTTATAATTTACCATTTAACATTAGGTGTCCTATTTATTTCGTTCAAATGACAAAAATATTTAGATAGGGAAGTCTGATTTCGCTTGAAGATGAAACAGTGCCTACTTTAACTCAATTTAATTCAAATAACTATATTGAAGTTTTCGGCTCTTGTTTTGAAACATGAGACCTCTTATGTCGCGAGTTGGAATCATATTTTTAAATAAATAATTATATTTATGCTCTACTTTTGTATCGAGCACTATTTTTTAAAAATAATAACTAAAATACTAAGGAACTTTGGATTATTTCACTAACCAGTTCTTTCCTATTTTCTATATATTTTCACACACACACACACACACACACACACACACACACACACACACACATATCTATCTATCTATATATATATATATATATATGTTTATGATGCAGTGTTACATTCGAACATGCACATTGTTCACTGCATAATACATAAATATTTACGGCCCTATTTTTGTATTGAGCCCTGTTTTAAATTAATGTTTTGAACGCTGAAATCTTACTCTTCGTGCTTTTACATTTGTGTGTGTGTGTATATACACACACACACACACACACACATATATATATATATATATATATATATATATAATCAGTTCACCAAGCAGCACGATAATGCCACTAAGACGCAAGGGACGCCTCTGAGTGAAAGAGAAAACTTTAGAAAGAACCGGCAACCCAATCCTTAAACAAGAAGCAAGAGATAAACCTCTACTCCTGTTCTCCTGTTTCAAAGACAGAGGAGGAGTTAGAACCGGGTGATAGGTGAAACTATCTATTTATATAGATGAGAAAAATACAAGAAAATAAATAATCATTCTGAAATAAAATTCAATAGGAGACTATAATTCCTGAAATATGCGTCTCCAAGTGATATATATATATATATATATATATATATATATATATATATATATATATAAGATATGTCTCATTATATAATTTAGACAAGTTTTGTGTATATATTTTTAATAGGATCCTCTCGTAATTACGGACAAGTTTCTTTTAGGAATAAAATGAATATACATCAACATGGTACTTTTCTTTCTTCCTTTAATAAGGTTACCAAGAAACTTGTTCATAAATACGAGAGGATCCTATTAAAAATAAGTAGACAAAACTTGTCTGAATTATTTAAAGAGAGATGTCGTAATGAAAGCATGCTGCCAAAATGTACGCAATTTGATACATACATATATATATATCCCGGACAATATTCGTAACATACTTGTTGACAACACTAATATAATAGCATCATCTACATGCAATAAAAGGCTAAAAATAATGGAAGCCTTATTAATAAAAACAAAAAAAAAACTCTTAATAATATTAACTTTGAACATGGACACAATATCTTGACCGTGTTTTGAAAAATGAAAACATTTTATAAAACATACATACATCAAACCATTTCTTATTTAACAGTTAAAATATTTCATCCTTGAAAATGGCTAAATGTATAGCGCTCGGAGAAAAAGAACATTCGGACAGTTTTTATATAATTTATCATCTGAAAAGAAAAAAAATTATTAGATCGCATGAGAAATTGCATAAAAAAAACTAATTAAAAGCACCTTGACCGTCGTATTCAATGAAATGTGCATATATATATATATATATATATATATATATATATATATATATATGTGTTTAGGAAGCATACATTCATTCAAAAATGTTTGGTTGAATAATCTAGTCATGTTATGTCTATTTATTTTTTATTTTTAATGTTCAAAATCAATTTCTGTGTTGTATTCTTATAGTTTTTATATTCACAAATCTCACACATATATATATATATATATATTATATATATATAATATATATATATATATATATATATATTATATTTGTGTTTAGGAAACTGCATTCAAAACATGTTTATATTGAATAATCTAGTGTTGGTCAAACTGTTTAAAAGACGCTATATTCTTATAGTTTTATTTATTTTATATTTTATATATATATATATATATCAATTTATAGTGTTGGTATTTAAAAAAGACGCTATATTCTTATTTTTATAAAACTATATATATATATATATATATATATATATATATATATATATATATATATATATATATATATATATTTTGAACTTTATTTTAAACCTCGATCAATTTCTTAGTGTTGGTACGAAACTGCTTTAAAAAGACGCTATATTCTTATAGTTTTTATATTCACACACACACACACACACACACACATATATATATATATATATATATATATATATATATATATATATATATATGATATTTTTTATTTCAAACCTCGGATCAATTTCTTAGTGTTGGTACGAAACTGCTTTAAAAAATATTCGCTATTCTTATAGTTTTATATTCACACACACACACACATATATATATATATATATATATATATATATATATATATATATATATATATATTTGAACTTTATTTCAAACCCCATGAGCTTCCTATCTTTAGTCATGATTAATTAAGGATGAACATGTCATTTTCGTTTATGATCGATTTCCTCACGATTCTATTCTACTGTTAAGCTTCGAGAGTAATTATAAATTCTATTGCTTAAAGTAGAGTCCAGTAGTAATATAAAGACCACGGAAAATTCCGAAACTGCTTTAAAATAAACGCCATAGTTATTCTCATAGTATTTTATATACTCAAGTACACACACACACACATATATATATATATATATATATATATATATATATACAGAGAGAGAGAGAGAGAGAGAGAGAGAGAGAGGGCTGTTAGTTGGAATCGCCAATTGAATGTTTATATTTCCCCGTTTGCACTTTTCATTGGTGCAAGCTTGTTTTGTTTTTCATTTTCTCTGTGTGTGGGCGTGTATGTGCGCAACCGTCTGCGTGTATATTGTACTCACCTGTATATTTTGCCCACCTGTATATTTGGCTCACCTGTATATTTTGTTCACTTGTATAGTTCGCTCACCTGTATATTTTGCCCACCTGTATATTTCGCTCTCCTGCATATTTTGCTCAGCTATATATTTTGCTCAACTGTATATTTCACTCACCTGTATATTTTGCCCACCTGTATATTTGGCTCACCTGTATATTTCGCTCACCTGTATATTTTGCCCACCTGTATATTTCGTCCACCTGTATATTTCGCTCAGCTATATATTTTGCTCAGCTATACATTTCGCTCACCTGTATATTTTTCTCACCTGTATATTTTGCTCAGATGAAGAATGTCGTGATTATTGATTGTTTGTTTTTCACTTTAAATTTGCTACTTATTGTTTTGTTTTTTTTTTTAATTTTTCCCTTTCATACTGTCCCTAGTGTCTATTGTCCCAAGCGATTTCGGCCAGTACTTTAGCCATTTTCAATGTTGAGGGGGTGGCGGGCGTTCAGTTTTTAAATGCTGTTAATTTCTTTTCGCGTTTGTCCTTTAAGATGTAATTGTGTGATGTAACGTTGTGTCCTAGTAACGTTTATTCCGAGCCACACAAAAGCAACGTGGCTGGATATTCAAGCTGACGTCCTTTTGTCTAAAAAAAAAAAAGATAAGACCTTTAACATATTTTGAAATACATTTTTAATACTCAAAAGTATATCGACAACCAAAATTTCTTATCATCTACCATTTTTTTCAGTTGCTTATCGCCCACCTAACAGGTAAAATCGCCCACAAATATCCCGCTCTATGAAACAATTGATATTTGTGCTAACTTTTTTCTATCGTGACCCAGCAAAGCTTCCATCTTTTCCTAAGTTTGTCTTTGTTGAGTTCATAGAGATGGTTACTTCAGCTTCGACTGTTGTATGTACCGACATATAGATGGAATGACAATGGGTAGTCCACTGGGACCTCTAATGGCCAACATTTTTCTCGGCTTTCATGAGAAACAACTCTTTAATAGGATTGCTAAGCCCTACTGTTAATTCCAGTACGT